GTGCATACTTGTTGGTATCCTCGTAATAACCTCATATTCTCATTTAGAAGATGGCTTCAATCGGTGATTTTCTGGTCACTATGAAATTTTGCGTATTGTGCTGACCAAACATCAGCGGCTACAAACAAATGATTTGATTTTGAACTTGAATCTCTTTTCTCATAACTTAGTGTCAAAATACCGATCTTTCGAAATGGCGTTGATATGCTTGCTTCATCAAATACCACATTATTAGATGTGGAAATAGCCTAGAAATACGTTTGTTGAATCTCACATGATCTTTAGTTCTGTTATACGTTTAATTTCACATACAATACAAGATCTCGCAGCGAGCAGGAAATGGTTTGCAGAAATGCATATAAACCACAGATTGTATTAGTTATATGCAAAAATATTAAAGTGGGAGGGTCCACCTGCGCACGCACGGGAATTGAGTCCCAATCGACGATAACAACACACGCTAAAACGCAAAGGCTTATGGGTAGATGCTTGTTTGGAAACAATGACACGCTATGGCCACCTGACGCATGCGCAGGTGACGACAACCCCGCTTTAAAATATTAATTATTTAGATAATATACATAACTCAGTAAACTATGTAAGCATACCTTCTACCTGGATATACTCCATATACTCTATGTTCTGGTGGTCCTACAACTTGTCTTGGTAGTACAAAACTATCTGATTTGATCACAACTGGTAACAAAATCCTGCAATTTCAGTAATGTTTGATGGACTATATTTTTGCAGACGAGTTTGTTGTATATATATAAAACGTGCAAAAAAAAAAACAGAATACAAAAAGAATCAATTCAAACACAAGAAAGTTAACTGGCCTTAAATTTTAAATCAAAGTGTGAAATTCAATAACCACAGTGTTTGTCGGTGGGATTGGATTTTTTGCTTGATGTTCTCGTTTTGACCATGAGGTAGTTAATACTCTCAATTTTCAGTACAAAAGTGTTGAACAGTTCATAATCAAAAGGAAGGTTCATGCTGCATCATCCTGTTGGTTTGCTTGAGAGTAATACCCCCCTTGATCTTAGGTGTACATTCGTTTTGAATGACCAACCAAATTTTCTCTTGTTCACAGGCGGCCATAGTTCGCATAATGAAGATGCGTAAAGTACTGAAACATCAACAACTCTTGAGTGAAGTGTTGACGCAGCTGTCTTCAAGATTTAAACCCAGGGTTCCTGTTATAAAGGTGAGATAGGGGGTTTTGTTGTTGAAATAATGAAAAACCTAGGGTGCTTAGGAAAACTTCATGGCTTTTTCAAACTTAAGAGGGAGTCATTTATGGTGAATTTTAGAGTCACATTACAACATGCACATGCCCATGCACATTTGATAGCAGATCTTAAAGAGACTTCAATAATTGTGAACTAAATTGCTTCATAACAAATTTTGAAAATGAACATGAACGATGTGAACATTAAAAGTAAAGTGCATATTCCAATGCGTTAGCAAGGCGGTTTTGTCCTGTTCCCCACAGGTAACAGCAATGTGTCCATTTTTAAATGCGTATTTCAAAACATTGAAGTTGGTGTTGTATGATTAACATTATTACTGAAAAGCTACCTGTATCATAGTGAAACATTATCAAATTATGTTGGAGTGGAAACGTAGTAGTTATTCATGTAGTTATTTTAAGGGAAGTTAGGTGGTCATGTAGTTATTTTAAGGGAAGTTAGGTGGTCATGTAGTTATTTTAAGGGAAGTTAGGTGGTCATGTAGTTATTTTAAGGGAAGTTAGGTAGTTGTGTAGTTATTTTAAGGGAAGTTAGGTAGTAG